TGACCACAAGGAAACCATGATGTCTGGATGCCACAGGGTATGTCTGTAGCTTTTTAAAGGAATGAATTTTGTAAGATTTAGGAACTTGTATCTTACCCACTAGGATTTTTGTTTTTATTTTGTTGTATAACGTGTATGCATGGGAGTGATTGTGGTGGTCGGAGGACAACTTTGTGCAAACAGTTCTCTCCTACAGTTCTCTCCTTTGACCTTTATGTGGGCTCCACGGATCAAACTCAGGTGGTCAGGCTTTTCAGGCGAGTACTTTACCTGCTGAACTATCTTGCTGGCCCTTCATTTTGTTTTTTGAGACAAAAACAGGGTCTCACTATGTAGCTCAGTCTGGTTTTAACCCAAATCTTCCTTGCCTCAGCTTCCTGAGTGTGGGATTTACAGGAATGTGTGCCACTATACCTAGCATCCACTGGGATTTAAATACTGCCCCTGTAAACCATCAATAGTGGTTGGTGCTGAAGTTCCCACTACTGTGGGAACCCATTTGCTTTACTGGGTGCCCTGATAATCTACACATCAGTAGCAGGAGGATCTGGGCTGAACAAACTGCCCTCAGTATGTCTACCTGCCCACAGTGTGTCCAGATGAGTTTATGATGTAAGCTTGTGGGATCCATAGATGCATCAAACACGAGCCTTTGCTAAAAACACTAAGGCAAAATTTTCTTTCAGAATCCTTTCACCATCACCTGATGCAATAAGACGTGCTTCAAGTAGCACGTATGCAAACAGTTCAACTCCTTTCCTGGTAATTACTTGATCTCCACCATTGGAGTGTTTTTCTTCTTGACTGGGTCTCTATGTACACTGGCTTGGCCTGGAATTTGCTATGCAGACCAGGCTGGACTTGATCTCACAGAGATCCACCTGCCTCTGCCTCCATGCCCAGAGAGAATGGGTTTTGGTCAATGTATTTGTAAGAGACAGCCAAGTGGTCTGCAACTTATAAACAATGGGGACAGCCAGTGTGCATCTTTTTTATTTTATTTATATGAGTGTATTGTCTGCATGTGTGTAAGTGCACTCGAGAAGTGCAATGCCCGAGGAGGTCAGGTGTCAGATTCCTTGGAACTGGAGTTACGAACAGTTGTTAGCTGCCATGTGGGTGCTGGGAATTGAACCTGGGTCCTCTGCAAGAGCATCCAGTGCTTTTAACAGCTGAGCCATCTCGCCAACCCCCAGTGTTCATCTTTTACTATGGACATTCTCCTTTTTCAAATGTTCTCTCTGGTCCCAACTCAACAGACTGAAACTTCAATACAATGTTCCTCGTGTCCACTTTGCCTCCAGGCAGTAGTCTATTCATTCTAAAAGGCCAATGAAAGTTTCCCACACTATGACCTCTCCACTCTGTCATGCTTCCCCTGGACTCTGTGTATTTCCTGACAAACTGGAAGCTCTGCCTAGTATTCCAGTTGTGGCTGTCTCGTACGCTCAGTGATCTTCTAAGGCCCTGTATATATTTCATTCTGCTTCTCTTATGGCACCAAAGGTCAGCCCCGTGTGTGTTAACAACTACACAATTAGCAGATCTGTAGATCATGTCCTGACTGTGTGTGTGCAGACTGAACTCAGGGCATTATATACAGCAGGCAAGCACTCTGTAGGTCTGCCACCAGATCTTGACCTACTCTTAAGTGGTTTGTGGGTCTAGTTTGTAAAAAATTCGATTCCTTAAATCTTCAGTAAGACTAATTCTTTCTCCCTAGTAATGTAGTCACTCATGGAGAACAGAAATTGGTCTGGGGTAGCTTGTTTTATAGTGAACCACAAGTCACTAACTTCACAGTCATGCACCCCCCACCCCGCCCCACATATTTTATAACTTTATGAATTAAAGGAAAACCACCTGCCAACTTCCAACAGCATGTGAGACCCAGGAAGAGGCAATAAGCACAGGCACACACCCATCGGTTCTCTCAGCTTTAAAAAATTCATTGTCATTTCCGAAGTTCAACTCAAGCTCTGTTCAAAGTCTAGTTCACAGACCAGAAGTATGGCCTGTGGCCATAACATAAACTGCAGGTCTCAGGGTCTTAGATGTGTCTCACTACTTTCTTAGACCAAATTCATTTCCATCAGCCTGGATGACTGAAATTTCATTTCATATCAGGCCCTACTAATTTTGCTGTGAGACTCAGGAGGTACTAACGAACTACGAAAATATAAAATGGTATTTGTACTGCATTTTCTTGTAGTTCCCTTTGTAAACCTAGGCTTAGCCCATTACCTATTGGTTCTTCTTGAAGGTGACACAGGTCACTATATAGTTCTCTGAACTAGGATGAAATGTGCATCAAGTATCCAGCACCTAAAATCTGAGAATGAGAGCTGTGCATGGGGGTGTAGTTGTAACCCCAGCATTTAGAAGGTGAAAGCAAGATTGTGTGTGGCTAACCTGGGCTACAAGGCAAACTGTTTCAAGAAAATGAGAGAGAGAGAGAGAGAGAGAGAGAGAGAGAGAGAGAGAGAGAAGCCAGCTCACTGGAAAAAAAAATCCAAAGTAAACCAAAGAGGAGGAACATAATCAAACCTAAGTTACCAATCAGTGATATTTCTTGTAAAGTCCAGCCTTTAACCCCCAACCACCCTACTAAACACGAATGGTACTGGGATGCAGCTCAGTGGCAGAGAATGTACTTAAGGATGTACTTAGTATGTGCAAGGGCCTGGGTTCCTCTTCTGGTCCCAAGAAAGAGTGCCACTTTTGTTAATACTACAGTGGAGAAAAAGGCAGGACCTAGGTTGAGTCCTGAATATAAACTAGACTGCAAGATTACCAAAACACCCATGAATGCTTGTGGAAACAAAACCTTTTCCGATGCTGCTCTTTGAGAATCTCTGAGACTGCTCCTGGCAGAAGTGCCAAGCAGACACAAGTGAGGTATTTTGGAAGCAGAGGGCTCAGCACAGGGAGCTAGCTGCAGTTGTCAGAACGCTAAGCCAACAAGGCAGAGCCAAACAGCAGCTGCTGGTCCCTAGGGCTAGGAAAACAGAACATTAAGAACCCTTGTAAGGTGGAGCTCCTCAGGAGACTCGACAGAGAGGGACAGGACCTGGGTACACAGACTGCTGAGGAGGGACCAGTAGTATCAAGTGCCAGGATGAAGCAGCTCAGGTGCTCAGACACTGAAGCTGAGGTCCCATAGGAAACTGAACAGCCAGCGAAAATGGCAAGTGAGTCCCTTCCTCTTCACAAGTTCCTTGAGTTTCTCATCAGGTTTTATCAGGAACAGCAAGAGAGCTTGCCAAGCATGGCTTCGTCAGAGACCCAGTACCACAGAGGACACAGAAACATGGGCTTGGAGGTGAGAAGAACTGGTGCAACCAGTGACCAACAGTTGACCAAGGTCCACTCATTAAAAAAATCTTTTCAGGGGCTGGAGAGATGGCTCAGCAGTTAAGGACACTGGCTGCTCTTGCAGAGGACCCAGGTTCGATTCCTGGTGCCCACATGGCAGCTAACAATCATCCTAACTCCAGTTCCAGGAGAATTCGACAGCCTCTTCTGACCTCCATGGGCATTGCATGATACTAGTGCACTTACACCCATGCAGGCAGTACACTTATACATATAAAATATTATTATACATTATTTTATCATTATAATAAAAAATCTTTTCAGGGGGGCTGGAGAGATGGCTCTGAGGTTGAGTCCTGGCTGCTCTTGAAGACCTGGGTTTAGTTACCAGCACCCGGTCCCAGAAGACCTGACATACTCTTCTGGTGTCTGAGGGCATCAAGCACAAATGTGGCATACTTACACATATGCAGGTACTCATCTATACACATAAAAATAAATCTTTAGGAAAACCCTTCAGGACTCTATACTTGCAGTGATCTCACACACCATTTTGGAGTGCATAAACTCAGTATCTTTGGAAACTTATTTGCTGAGTGTTTTGCCTGAATGTAAGTACACTGTGTTATGCAATGTCTGTGGAGACCTGTTGGAGTCCCTGGAACTGGAGCTATGGATGGTTGTTAGCTGCCATGTGGGTGCTGGGAACCCAACCTAGGTCCTCTGAAAAGAGCAGCCAGTGCTCTTAACTGTGCTTGAACTCAGTATCTTTAAGAACATTTATGGCTTGTCACCATTCTTACCGTCTACCTCGAGTCTTTCATCCTCCCCACCAACAATGCACCATTAAAACCCAGTTCCCAGAAGCTCTTCCTGTGGGGTGATAACCACTGCCCTTTTATCTCTGTGAATTTCATGACTGATGACTTTATCATCACAAAAGTAGAATCATGCAGTTATGGTTCTGGAATTGGTTATTTTACTTAGGGTCATAACCTTAAGGTTTTTACACTGTAGCACTGCACTACAGCATGAGACCAGGGTGCTTTTCTTTAAAAAAAACCAAGTTTTTGGTTTGTAAGCCAGGGTCTTGTTGTGCACACCCCGGTTGGCATGGCATCCTGTATGTTGACCAGGTTGACCTCGATTTTGTGTGATCCTCCTGAGTACTGGGATTATAAGTGTGCACTACCATACATGGCAGTAAAAAATTGACTTTTTAGAGACAGGGTTTTGCTATAGCTCAGGCTGGCCTGGAAATCATAACACAGACTGGGATGGCCTCAAACTCATGATGTTCCTCCTGAGTGCTAGGATATGGATGTGTGCCACCTTACCCACACCTCCTTTCACTGGCTGAGTAACTTCCATTGCTTGTGTCAACCTCGTTCTGCTTACCCACCGTTCTGTTCCTAGTCATCTGGGTGTTCCTGACAAGGCGAATACTGCTGCTAGGAACACTGGCATAAAAACCTATTTGACACTTCACCTGGGGCTTCAGGAGAGTTTGCAAACTCAGAAACTGAGGTGCTGGATTGTATGGTAGACCACGCTTAATCCCTTGAGAAGCCAGACAGGTCTCCAGAGAAGAACACCAAGTACTCAAAAGATTAAGACGTGGGGCTTGGGAAAAATACTATCATGTGTACAATTTATAATTGTATAAATAAATGTGGCAGTCCAACTGTCATTCATAAATACAAAATTTTATTTGCACTTCATTAGTGTAGAAAGACCACGATGCTTCTCATACCACAACACTCGGGACACACCAAGTTATTCAAATACATACTTATTTACCTTGACTAAACAAAACAGTGCAGTTTAATAAAAGATATACCAAAGATAGAGTTCACAAATTCATAATCAGACCCCCCCCCAAAAAAATGAACACAGTCTAGGCTTGATAGGAGTGAGCTTCAGCATAAAGGGGAGCGTTGCTCATTACAAAATACAGAATGTTTAGGCAAATACATGTGTGTTCTTTGATATAGTAAAATGTATCTCTTTAAAATTCCTTTAAACAGGATTTATGTAGGACAGCAGCGTGGCTTTAAAATCTTTTTCTAATGTTTCAAAAATCCTTCTTTCAATTTTTTGGGGGTGTGATGCCGGGAATTGAACCCTGGCATGCTGGGCAAATGCTCAAACACTGAGCTACATCCCCAGTTCACCAGTTCTTTCTTTGTTGAATCTTTATCGCTCTGAAAAGCATAAGTCATATCCATCAGGGAACCCAGAGATTCTGCAGGCCCGGGACCAAGTCAAACTCAGGCCTCTAATCAGGACTACCCTCTCATCACAGAATCAATAAATAACCTCAACGGCAGCTCTGGAGGGGACTTTGAGG